AATCTGCGCCCTGACAAGTACACCCGGGACAACCTGGACAGTGAACTCACTGTCATGGCTATGATCCTGGCCCTCCCTCGCGAGGATTTCGCCCTCCTGCGCACTCAGCTGCTCAATGGCGACCTCAAGAAGGCCACAGTCATCCAGGCCTTTGTCACTGAGGATGCCCAGCGCCGCCATGACTCCACCATTGCCTCCCAGTCTGCCCTTGCAGTTGCCTCATCGTCCTCTGGCCCCTGCGACTTTTGTGGCGCATCTGGCCACTCCCAGCCACAGTGCTACTCGTTCCAGAAGGCCCAGAAGCAGGCCAAGGAGCGCCGTGCCACCAGGGGCAAAGGCAAGGCTGCCACTGCACAGGAGAAGCCTGCAGAACCTGCCCAGGAAGCCGCTGCAAATGCAAGTGCCCTCTCCTCACACTCCCTTGAGCCCTCTTCGCCCTCTACACCGCTCCAGCTTGATGCTGACTTCACCTGGAATGCAGACACAGGCGCCACTTCTCATATGACGCCTCATCGCCACTGGCTTCGCAATTACAAGCCACTGCGCTTGCCTGTGAAGTTGGCAGACAACAAGGTTGTCTATTCTGCTGGTGTGGGGTCGGTCGTCTTCAGGCCCAGGGTGAAGGGAGCATTTGTGCGGTCTGTGGAGTTCTCAAGGGTGCTGCATGTGCCTGATCTGCGAAGCAATCTTCTGTCCTGTCTTCATCTTGCGCGCAATAAAGGGTTTACCATCACCATATCGTCTGATGCCATGGCCTTCTACCAGTCTGGCACACTGCGCTTTGTCGCACCCATTGACCCCAACAATGCTGCCTACCTTGATGGCGAAGTTGAGCCCCTTGTTGAGGCTTCAGCACGCATTGCAGCCACCCTGCCACTCGACCTCAACCTCTGGCATCGTCGTCTTGCTCACAATAACTATGCAGACGTCCAGAAGCTTGTCAGAGACGAACTGGTCACTGGCCTTACCCTCAGCTCGAAGCAGCAGCCTGATCCTGTCTGTGAGCCATGCCTAGCAGGCAAAATGCGAGCAAACCCCTTCCCTCCTTCGTCTCATGTGTCCACCATGCCTCTGGAGCTCATCCACAGCGACGTCCATGGCCCTCTGCCTGTCCGCACCCACTCTGGCTATCGCTACTGGATCACCTTCATTGACGACTACTCCAGATTCAGGGTCGTCATCCTGCTCAAGGCCAAAAGCGAAGCCTTTGCTGCGTTCAAGCGCTTCAAGGCCTATGCTGAGAACCAGCTGGGTGTGAAGATCAAGGTGCTCCAGGACGACAAGGGAGGCGAGTACATGTCCAGTGAGTTCATCGCATTCACAGACTCCTGTGGCATTGTGCGTCGCCACACTGTGTGCAACAGGCCACAGCAGAATGGGGTTGCAGAGCGCGCCAATGGTGTCATGTCTGACACGGCCACTGCGATGCTTGCAGAGTCCTCCCTGCCTCCGTCCTTCTGGGGCGAGGCTGTGGCTGCTATGGTCCATGTCTGGAACCGTCTGCCCACCGCTGTGCGCCCTGGCACCACGCCCCATGAGCTCTGGCACAAGGGCAAGCCCAGTGTGGCGCATCTGCGCGTCTGGGGCTGCACTGCATATGTGCACATCCAGAAGGACCAGCGCAAGGGTCTGTCGCCTCACATGCAGAAATGCGTGTTCATAGGCTACCCTGACGGCTACAAGGGCTGGAAGTTCTACTGCCCTGACACAAGGAAGGTGGTGATCTCTGAACGCGCCGAGTTTGATGAGCGGTTCTTCCCTGGCCTGAGGCGCACTCCTGCCTCGCTCTCCCCTCCCATTGTCGACCCTCCGACCTCTGAGCCTGTCCCTCTCTTTGTACCTGCACTGGATCAAGGGGGGGACGACGACTCTGTGCCTGCTGCCATTCCTGAGGCCCCTATTGCTCCAATTCCTGCAGCGGCACCTCCTCCAGTTGCTCCAGTGCCTGTCCAAGCTCCTGTGCCTCCTGCGCCACAAGCTGTTCAGCCACCTCCTGCGCCACCTGTGCACCAACCCTCTCCTGAAGCGGACGAGCTCAATCTGCCCATTGCCATTCGCAGGGGAAGACGGCATGCACCAGTCCCTGCAAAGCGCGAAGACTCTCCTGATCCCCTCGACCTGTTTGCTGAGGAAGCGGATTTCGTCGAAGTGCAGTTTGCTGGGCTTGCAGCTGGTGCTGACCCTCACAATTTTCGCGAGGCCATGCGCTCCCCTGATG